TGGGAAAAGGAGCTTTCACTATGGCGTCATAAAGACTTGATCGAGGCATTTCATGCTGAGTCCGCGACGAGGGCGTCGTGAGAGTGAGTGGGGGAGAATGTTACGCGGAAGATTCTAGAGAATTCTAGAAAGATGTAGGTACATGCATTCATCTTGCAATTCATGCACCAATGTACATACATCCCCCTTTCCTACTCTTTATTCATGCACCTTATTAATTACATTCATGTATGGGGCTAGTTCATGTATGAGGGGACTTCTAGGTTCGTTCATTTATGACGGCCATGTACATTGTACTTAGTGGAGAGGATGCCTATATAAGGAGCCCTCTCCATCACTTTTCATTCATCCAGAAATAAGAGAGCTTTCCATCTCTAGAGAATTTCCCAACTTGTGAGTTTGAGTGAATACGAGCAAGGCTGACTTAGTGCTCTAACGAGACTTGAGTGCTAAGTGCCGCACGGCCAAGAGTTGGTCCGTGACAGCGGTCGTGGGCAAACAGGCGGAGACGAGCAAGCAGTTATCGAGCGGCGGCGGCGTTGTCATTCCTCCTCCTCGCCTTCTACTTCTAGTAGAAAACATGAAATCCAAGTTGGTTTGAATGAGATCCTCCGGTGCTTCTGAATTTTTTCGATACCCAATTTCGAAATCAGTACGGCTTTGAGTTTGAATAAACAAACGATTAGAGTAGACGTACTGATGCAAATGACAGAAAAATTGTGAGTCTGACGCAGAAGTCTGCTGAAAGAAGGCGGTGAAGAGCAGCAATCATCATACATTGGAAGGGAAGGGAAGGGAAGGGAAGGGAGGCATTCACTACCGACGCCATTGATTTGCCTTGTTTTATGTCTTGGTTTGGGTCTTTGGTGAACATAATTGGGATTCTTCGGAAGGAAGAATAGAGCCGCTTCCACGCGCATCTACCTAGTTGTCATATTTTTCTACATCAACAAAAAGTTAACATTGCTTTGATCATCATTTGGTCAATTGTTATCTATAACGAACAACAAAAACGCCTGGATAGAAATTTCACAATGGTCTCATAAATTAGTTAGGATTGTGATATTGAATAGTTGACGATAAAAATGATATCTTTTTATTTATAGTTTGGGTCTTATAGTCAAATTTGAAATACATGTATTTATCAAATAATTGTTTCATTTGTCTTAAAACCAATGGGAACAAATAGGGTACAAATGCAAAACTTTACAAAATGTAGATATGTAACCGTCCAACAAGATGTCATCCAATGACTCAAAATTCATTAAGAAACAAGTAGGGGTAGATTGATAATTTTAGCACCTTATATTTTTTTTTTCACTTTAATAGAATTTCAGCTGACCTGACTAGTCAAATGCTACATATTCTAATCTCCCATGATCACTAATCGAGTCATAAGTCATCCGTTTAACTTAGAATTTAAATATATTTATTTAGAAAGAACCCATTAATTATGATTTGTACAATAATATCCATTTTGCTATGTTTTGAGCAAAATTATAGTTCTTCTTCAAAACACTTGTAAGTTGAAGTATTATCACTTTTGTATCAATAGGAAGTGACAGTACTGGCTTGATGGCATATCTCCTTGTTTTGACTAGCAATTAAAAAATAATTCGTATGGAAAGAAATTATTAATTATGATATGAACAATGATATCCATTTTTTATGTTTTGATCAAAAGAAAATATTTCTCTTCAAAAACTCATGTTTGTTGTAATCTTATCACTACCATATCATGATCTTACCACTATGTATGTTGTAATCTTATCACTACTATATTATATCATGATATGATAGTTGTATGATAGGTCCAAGATATAGTCAATAACCATAGAGTTCATTACCTTTGCATAACCAGATTTAGGCTCTTGTTTTGAAGTGGGGTCGGCTCTAAGGGTTTTATTTTTCTTAGCTTTCTTAATAAGCTTTTTTCTTCATCGTTATAACTTGGATTTCAAATTTCTTAGCACAGATGGAACGGGTTTTTTGTGATCTATAAAAGGAGATCCACTTCCAATATATTTCGAGAAAAAAAATTTTTCATATCGCCCATATCACTCGTTACCACTTTGGTACCAGCTTTGTTTTAACTCAAATTTAGAATAATTTTGTTTGGAAGGCGGGAGTTCATTGTGATCTATTACATATATAAATTTTTGAAGAAAAATTTTCAGAACTAAATATATCACCTTATACCACTCTAGTATAGGATGGTCACTGGTGGTACACGATAATGAAATATGGTAAATGATAATTAGTATATTCCTACTATCATGTATACAATTATCCTACACTATGATATATTCATATCATAATGGTACACTTCCATACCACGTGGGATCATCATATGTTCATACCAAGTGGTATCACATGGTATAACTCATAATAAAAGTCTCAATTATTTTTCTCCAAAATATATCAAAGTGGTTGTCATTTTGAAGAGCACAATTAATATGATTTTTTGGACACTTTTTAAATTTTAAATTAAAACAAAAAGATATAACCATTTAAATTTATTTGGTGGAAAACTTAGTAGCCTTCGTAAATAGTAAGTATACGATCGTGCATGGCTATGCATCTATAGATTATGCACTGGAGCCGCTCCCAGTATGATGACATCAATTATTTTTATCAAACATAAAATTTCATATTATTTTATCACTCTTATCGATATGAAATTACTATTTTAAGACTTTATGATATAATCTCACCACTATCATGTCATTATCATATCATAATATTATCATAATTACAATATTGTTACTCCAAATTCTCTTCATGAATACACCTTTAGTAAAAACTAGCTTTTACCCAACCAGTTGTTGGTAGGATGGATTCAGTTCTGTAGCCAGGATTTTAATTAAGGTGGATTCTACGTAAAAATCAAAACAAAAACATATTTTATTAATATTTAAATAATAATAACGGGATTTCGAGTTTGTCGACTGATTTTTGCTCAAGGATGGAGAATTCAATTCTCAAAATAAACAATTAGAGATACAGTTTTATGTAAAATCTAGAGTTGTTTACATAATGCAAGGTTAAATGTGTGTCACAAAGTTCTCTAGAATCTGTCTGTGGACAAGTAAAAAACTAGTGAATATGTAGTGTCAGATTTGAGTATTACGAATTGTGTTCAAATACTGTTATATTTTGTGTTCTAATCCCGAATCAATGTGAGTCCCGGGACCCACTCAGTAACATGCTTGATGAATTCATCTTATTTGTCATTACTTCATGGTAATCATTGCATTCATATTTTTAAATGATTTGGGGTACTCAATAGTTTACTAAAGAGTCAAAAATAATCTTTGTACTACTTGATAATTGTTACATTGATAAAAGTCAGTTTATATGACATTGATAATTATAATGCAGATCTTAAAATGTATATTAAAAATATGAATCAACCGAGAAAAAGCTTTTGTGCCAAATTTATTGGCATCATTAATTTGGAAAAATTAAAATTAACAAATGATATTTGATAAATCTTACATACCTAATGCATAATCTACATATACTCACATATGTGACTATTTCAACTTTATTCGTATTTAATTATTTATATCTTTCCATCTTTAACTCATCTAGCTTAATATTACCAATATTTTTATTTATGAGGCTATAGTTATTTATCTAATTTGTCAAAGAAAATTTTAATTTATATATTCTTTATTTTTAAGAACAGAGAAAAGAAGAATAGTGAGACCAAAAGGAGAAAGAGAGTTGTTAATTTACGTATAAAAAATAAAATAAAATATCGAAAATTCTAAACCTTGAGATTTGTGACAAATGTAACCTTTTTTTTTTGAAATATTGTTATCTTTACTACCATTATAAGAAATCGAGGTTTTAGCGTTGGAAGAATTCGTCACCAAAGGTTCAAATTTTTCGTAATCTTTGACGACATGGAATGAGTTCGTGGTGATATACAAAATGATATAAATTATCAATATATTTCGAGGAATTTGTTTCATACCAGTTGTTACCACCATCGTACCACTACTTACCATCTTTGTTTTTCACTCAAATTTTAAAAAACATTTCTTAGAAGGAACTAATCAATCATGATCTATTGAATATGCAAATTTTCGGTGAATAATATTTCAAGACTCAATATGTCTAAGATGCGAACAAGAAATTAAATGTAACTTTGCGAATAGAAATCAATAATGTATAAAATTAGAGTCGTAATAGCATTTTTTTATGAACTCCTCGTAAGTGCATTCACATCAATGCAATTATAAAAGCAATTACATTTATGTTTTTTTATTGGCAACACAATTTTTTTCAAACCACCTCAAATCACTTTCATTCACTTACATCAACGCAATTAACTTGCAATTGCATATGTAATTAAATATTATGTCTAAATGATAGAAAAGGAAAGAGAAAAGAAAATAATATAAAATTAAAAATATCCATTTTTAGGGCTTTTTGACTTGCATATGGAATTGCATTTGTTGTAAGTTTGCAAATATGCAATTGGTAGTCACATCAATGCAATTGGTTTTGCAATTGCAAACACCCTTGTCATGTCATCTTGCAATTGAAAATGCAATATTGTGGATGCTCTAAGAGCATCTCCATCAAAGCAATTGCAAAAGAAATTGCATTTGTGTTTTTTATTGTCAACTCAAATTTTTTGCAATACACATTACATTCATTCCATTCACCTACATCAATGCAATTAACTTGCAACTGCAACTGCAAATGTAATTAAATATTATGTTTAAATTATAGAAAATTAATTAAAAGAGAAAAATAATATAAAATAAAAAATCCCAATTTTTAGGCTTTTTTGACTTGCATGTGAAATTGCATTTATTGCAAGCTTACATATATGCAATTGGTAGCCACATCAATTCAATTGAGTTTGCAATTACAAACACCTATACCATGTCATTTTGCAATTGAGAATGCAATACCAATATTGATTTATTCCTCATCTCTTGCTTATTTCTTTATTATCAAATAAATCATCTAACAGCCCGCCACATTATTTATCATTATTATTATTATTGAACAGGTAGAAAATCCATAACTAATATCTAACGAACATCCACAGCATAAGAGTTAGCTTGCCATACATACATAACTGGTGATGAAGAATATAATACCAAAAAATTGGTCCTGCTGCTACTCTACTCTCAGTCACTACTAAACCCAAGAAGGTGGATCGCTGAGGCCCAATTGGTCCAAAAGAGATTGATGATCAGGGTCATAGGAGATTGAGCCGCCGTCGTTTGACACCCCGCTAAAGTAGTAGTCCTTCCCATACGTGGTCTGGAAAGGACAGCCATCGCCGCCGCCGCCGCCGCTCACTGCTTGTTCCATACTCTGATCGGTTGCCACCAAAGACTCCTCCCCATCCTTGTAATTGACCATTCCCATTACCTCTTCCCCCCGCGACCCTCTTATTGCAGACCCCAAACCATTGCTCGACGATGACGACGCCATAAACATGCTGCTATTGTTGGTATAATTGTAATCATCATCATAATTCCGCCCAACATGAGGAATCTGCTGAGGTTCCCCAGGCTCTAGTTTCAAGCAATTTCCCATCTCCCCACCGCCAGTGTAGTAACCTTCTCCAGCAGCACCACCATTATTATACCCAGGAAAAGCCGGAGCCGGAACGTCGTCTTCATTATTACTCGTAATACTAATACTCTGCTGCTGCTGGTCTTGTTCTTGCTGGGATAAAAATTGCGACTCAGAAGAAGAAGAAGAAGGAGCGAGCTGACCTGGCGCGATCGGCGTAGGGTTAGAGTAGTGGTGGCGGTGGCGCTTGGCTAGTGGGTTCTTCCTCAAACGGCAGACCACCCAGGAGCGGTCGGGGACCCCGTCCAAGTGGCCGGCGACGCTGGTACAGCTGTACTCGTGAAGGATCCAGCGCTTGTGCTCCTCCGCCTTCTTAGGGTTCAGGTAGCTGAACCTCTTCTTCAGCGCGGTTATTCGCGTCCTGCCGCTGCCGCCGCCGCCTTTGACCGCCAAGTCCAGCTTGATCTCCGACCCGGTGTCCTCCCCGTGCCACGTGCCCTCTCCCTTCCCCACGCGCCGGCTCACGTGCCCCCCGCCTCCCGTCTTCCTCGGCTGCAGCCTTGTGTACAAGTAGAGGTCCTGCGACTGCGACCCCCCACCTGCGAGCGAGGAAAGCTTCGACCAGATATCCCAGGGCTCGTCGGCGTACAAATCCGCCTCCGGGACTCGGCTCGCTTCTCGCCGGCTCAGCTTCAGTAATCCGCCGCCGACTACTTTGCGGTAGAGGAAGTGACCCACTATCTCGTCGTCGGTTGGCTCGAATCTTTCTCCGTTCCCGAGCCCTAATTTCCAGTAGTGGTAGTATTGCTCCGCCTCCGCCGCCATCATATCTCAAATCCCGAAACCAAGACAAGATCGACCTGCTCGCCGCCGCCTTCTTTATTACAGCAGATCGGAAAGAGAAAGGGGGATAAAGAAAGAAAGAAAGCAAGCAAGAAAGAGAGCGTGTGGTTTGGAATCTTGATGCGTTAGGGCAAACTAACTAACCAACCATGGAGAACGGTAATGTGGGCAGGCGTCCCTTCCTTTATATAGAGAGTGTGAGGGAGCGGGGAGCCAAAGAGAGGAAGGTTCCTTCTCTTCTGTTGTTACCGTTGCTACGGTTAGTCGCTACTCTCTCTGTCCGTCCCTTGGCTTTGCCTTTCCTTTTCCTTCTAGGTTTTGGTATTACTTACTATTGTCGACAGTCTACTAGCTTTATTGTTCCCCCAAACTGTAATATGCAATAATATTGCATAAATAGGTAGAGAGTAGTATAATATCTATTAGATATTTAGGTTATAGGTATAACTAGTTTTTTACCCGGCCAGTTGGCCGGAGAAGTTCATTTTATTATTTATATTAGTTAACTTATCTACATTTTATTATTTATATTATTTAACTTATCTACATGTTTGAACTTTTTGATCTTGTATACGTTTCCTGCTCTCGCTTCATAAGTAAATATGTGGTATGCCTATATCGAATATTATTTAATAGTTATCACACTCGCTTGTAATGTTTTTATTCTCTGATCATAAATCATGTCGTAAAGGTTTATCACGTCCCATTTAGGATCGTATATAATTTTTTTTTCCACCAAGACGCTCAAATTTATTATCTTATACAACATATATCAATTCATGATTCTCGAGTTTGTACGAACTCTCAGCCAATTAATCAGAGTTCAAATTATTGGAAAAAGATACTTGATTACTCGATAAATTATGTTTATCCCAATTGAAATTTGACACACAACGTATCCCTTATAATGATTAAATTCTCTAAACCTCACTCATTTTTATTGTTGATGTTCATGAAGTCTTTGTATAGCAACTTATTACAATTGCTAATATTTTAACTTTGTACAAACCGTCAACCCATGCCTTTTGTCTAGATGTTTGTTTAGAATCTGAATCCAAGGATTCATATACACTATCGAAGGTTCTCATCTTAACATGTTCCTTCGATGTATAATTTTTCAACTATTTGAATGTTCATTCACTAAAATTTCTTTATATTTGATGTTTGTTCTAGAACAAATATTTCATTACTTATATTAATAATTGGTAAAGTGTGTATACGACAGACAAATATTTCAGGTGCATTCAAAATTATGTATTCCTTGAATAATTCACTTATAATTGCAAAAGTTAAAAGTTCCTACAAACATTGTGGCTTTTCACATGTATTTAAATTATTGGATGTATTGTAGACACATATATTGTTAATATCTAAACATATATATATATATATATATATATATATATATATATATATATATAGAGTTTATTTTACTTGCAACACTAATTAATACCTTTGAACTCAGCTCCTTGGGTGGAACATGATATCAATTTTTTTGTTATTGCCAAAATTTGGTATGAAATCACAGACTCACAACTATATAGACTTGTTACAATTTTCTTACTAAACTCATATTTATTAAATATTCTTCTTTTGACCCAATAGCTCGGTTTACACTGTTGTAACTATAAATATTTTTTGTTTTATATGTGAAGTAAAACATTAATGTTTATTTATTACCTCAATCTTCGAATTTAGATTTTTCTTAGCATGAAATGTGATGTTTAACGTACATCCTTAACAAAGATTTCTCTAAATTTCACACATTTCATTTTTCAAAGGATCTCGTGTCTCAGTCAAAGTTCATCAACTATTATACTCAAGTCATTTTGGAAACTTCAATTTATAATCTTTATCAATAAATAACTCCAAGTCTGAAAAGAAAATTTCTTAGCATATGATGTAAGACCTCAATAGAGCTTGCTCAATCAACATGACCTAGAGAAAATATTAGTAATGTGAACTTAGAATACATTATAAATACTGCACATACGATTTATATGTTTTCACTTGATTAGAATGAATAAAAAGCTTTTTTAATAAATAACTATTATTTATTTGTCAAGTTTCTTTCAGACATTATCGGCAAAATATTATTATTTTTGTGTGTTTGTTTAAATTATTCAATAAAATGTAAATTATTATTAAGTTTTAGTAAAAATGAGCAGAAATTTACATAGTAATCTTTAATCATATATTTTTTTGGTTTAAAAAGTGTGATATATATGTCACTCTACGAACATTAGTATATTGTTGCATACATCGATATAATGCAAAACCAAAATGTGATATATGTCACTCTCCATCATGATTGTCACGTCGGTCGGCATGTCACCGGTTGAACCATTCAACCGGTATAGGTCATGAAATCGACATGACACCATCGGTATGAACGGTATGATCGTTTTACGAATTTCTTAGTAAAATACGTAGTTTTAGTGAATTTAAGTATGAGTACATGTAATTTTATTTGAAATATCATATTTTATTCAAATATCAATATGAATTGTACGTAAATTGTCTTCAAATATGGTTTATATATGATTAAATTTATTTGATATTAATAATTTTTTATATTTCTACATATATTTTATTAACCGACATGAAACGACACAAACCGGTTATACCACTGGTAAAACCATTCCACTTGCTAAACCGGTTTGATAACTTTTCTCTCCATATATTATTTATAGATATAATACAAAAACAAAAGCAAAATAATTATTGGATAAAAGAGAATTAAATATTGAATGAAGAGAGAGGGACAACTCCATAAATAGGTCAATAACTATTTTTTTGGTAAAAAAATTGTCCACCTTGGCAACTTGAGATCTCTTCAAGTGTTTATTTGGCAAAAATTTAATTTTGAATTGCCATAATATTATGTATGTATAGATAGATATGCCCTCTACTATGTCGTTTTATTAAACATGTCCCTCTACTATTTTTTACATCAAACATGCCCCTGTACTTTAGAAAAATGATCAAACATGTTATTCTGTTAATATTTTCATCCAAAAACAGTTAACCACGGTCGTACCTTGGTTTGGGCGACACAAATGTCTAAAATATCCCTGGTAATTTCACTTTAGAAAATTTTGGGTTCTTTTGTAGAGCCAAATACCTCTAATAATTTCACTTTAACGAGACCTAGAAAATAAAACGGGGGACAAAACTGACAATTTTCATCTCATTTGCCAATGTCGGGTCGTCTATATCTCGGTTTAACCATGGTTGACTATTTTTTTATGTCAATTTTAACAGAAGAGCATGTTTGATAATTTTTCCAAAGTATAAGGGCATATTTGATGTAAAAAATAGTAAATGGGCATGTTTGATAAAACTACATAATAAAGGGACATATTATACCTATAATCCTAGATATTTCTTTGCCCAATTCATCCACAACAAACAAAACTAAATCCGATGGGCCAAAGGGAAAATATAAAAATCAAGTTACGTCCAAATCATATCTGCGTTTTGGTTTAAATATTTATGGTACAAATTGAATTTTTATTATTAACGTTATGGTATAAATTCGGTTTGCACACATATATATTTTTATAAAAAATATTTTTTTTTGGTACAAACTTAATTTGTACATTTATGCTATTGAACAAACTGAACTTGTATCATAACATAAATGTACAAATTGTATAATGGTACAACCTCGATCAACTTGTCTCTATTCTCACAATCAATTAATATGTTGTAGCTTGTAAAACAATACATATCTTTTCACCACTACTATAAAAATATTTATGTCCTTCCCTTATATTACGGATGATTTAGAGAAATTTGTTGCCACTCAGAATGTAGGAAGCTCTATAATTTTTTCATGATTTTATCATTTTCACCTTTTAATACTTTATTCTGGATTAGAATCATAGTGACTAAAATTCGAAGTTACAGCATATACGACAAAATTCTTATCACTCAAAGCATTTAACTTATATGATGAATTATTAATATATTTGATACTAGAAAGATTTGGGGAGAATTGCAAGTAGTCTGGATAAACCAATTTGGTGAATCTCCCTACAAAAAGGAGTACGTACTAGCTTAGGTTGAGCGAAGATTAGTGTGTAGAATTGAGTGCAAACATCGAAGAAGTTTACAAGATCAGTATTACACCCAATGGTTTGCCGTATCGAGTTGCTTATTGATGTGAAGTATTGCAATATGTCGAGAGTTTGTGCTAGTTGTGAATGAAGTATTTGGATATGATTGTTCAATTCTTGATGAAGCAAATGCTAAGAAAGTGTGGCAAGTAAAGTAAAGAAGCCAGTGGTTGAAGCATTGAAGGGGAAGGAAGTGTTTTAATTTTCCAGGTATGAACATCCCTGCTCCGATTTCCAGCTCTATTGACACTCTCTCGCCAACCCCGCGGATGCCTACTCTTCCAATTAGCCATGATGCTGAGTGCTGAGCAAGCAAATGATGGGTTTACTCTGGTTGAGAGCGAGCAGGCTAGGATGATGAAACATTACAATGTTCATGGTTCAGAGATTAATATGGTGCACTACTATATATACAAACTCCCATGAACTTCACTACTTGATGATAGCTCCTTTCTAGTAGCAAGCATGTTTATGGCTCTAGTTGTAAAGTGGCTCCTCCTCCTAAAAGTAGATTGAGAGGAAAACGACATGGAGATGAAGATGATTATTCCTTGCTAGAATCTCATTATCCTTCCTTGATTATCCTGTGATCTTTTTCCTTTATCGTTTGACCTCTTACTAAATTTTGAAAAATATTGGATCTAGATTCTATACAAATTACATTCGGTAAAATGGCATGGATAAACTTTGCATTCTATATTCAGTCATAACAAAAATCCATTGAAAACTTAAAATATTTTTTTTTATTTCACATCATAATATATCTTATAATTATTTCAAAATTTTTAAAAATAATAAATTCAAAATTAAAGTGAAAATCCAAAATTTTAGTTACTACCCAAATTCAAACTTATATTTAATTTTTTCATGTAATTCTTCTTTAAATATTAAAAATGTTAATTAAACATAATCAAATTTCATATTATAGGACATCAAATACTATAGAATTACTAAAATATACTAATATATTTTAGCTATATGCCACCACAATAGATGATAATTTCATGCCGAAAAGTTGTTCGCATATTTATTTAACCAA